TGAACCACGATCCTCAGATCTCAGCCTCCTGAGTAGCAAGGATTACAGGTGTGAGCCATGGGTGCCTGCTAAGCAGAATTTTTGATGACCTTGTTATTGGAGTTGATATATGAGCACTAAATCAGGTCTTATAAGCTAGGAGCCAGTGGTTCTTCACACCTGTAAGCTTAGCTACTTAAGAGGCTGAGATCTGAGGATCCTGGTTCCAGCCTAGCAGCAAAGTCTGTGAGACTCTTATCTCCAATTAACTACCAAAAACATTGGAAGTGGAGATGTGACTCAAGTGGTAGAGTCTCAGCTTTGAGCACAAAAGCTCAGGGACAGCACCCAGGCCCTGAGTTCAAGCACTAGCCCGGGCATAAACAACAACCATAACAAATCAGCTCTTACAGATAACATGAGAGAATTTACAGAAGATGGTTGTTAGAATAAGTGAAGAGATTAGAAATTTGAAGAGATACTTGGAACCTCTAAAAAAATTCAAGTGTAATTTCTGCAATTTTCTGATTTTCATTGTTCTAGGTTCTACCATTAAGCAATGTTTCAGCATAGGTTCTTAGGATAGTACACTCACACATGTCATACTGAATGAAATGCTGGACATATGACATTATTCATTTGCAAGATGCATAAATCTTTACAATAGAGAACATGAACTTTGTAAACTATGGACTTTAGTTACCATATCAGTAATGGTTCATTCAAACAGATGGGCCATACTGAAAATAAGGGAATTGGGAGGAACATATATGGTGACTATACTACCTGTTCTTATTTTCAACAAAAATTTAAAGTGTAAGGTTATGTTAAAGGGTGTTATAAGGGTGTTAAAAATCATGCATAACAAAACAGAGTTGTTTTTTTTTTTTTCGTCGGTCATGGGGCTTGAACTCTGGGCCTGGGCGCTGTCCCTCAGCTCTTTCAGCTCAAGGCAAGCGCTCTACCACTTGAGCTACAGCGCCACTTCCGGTTTTCTAGTGGTTTATTGGAGATAAGAGTCTCACAGTCTTTCCTGCCCAGGCTGACTTTGAACCGCGATTCTCAGATCTCAGCCTCCTGAGTAGCTAGGATTACAGGCGAGAGCCACGGGCGCCCGGCTAAAACGGAGTTGTTTTATGGGGTGTAACAACATAAAATAATTGCAAAGACAGGAAGACTACCTATAGCAAATGAAGTCAGTAATTGAAGAGTGATGGGTGTTTCTCCATGGTGGAAATCATACAGATGACTTTTATTACCAGTTCTGTTTATCACTACTGCAAGAAAAAAAATAAAAAGCATAATTGTTGGAAGAAAATTGTCATTTACAAAATTATTTTATAAATAGAAAATTGACTAGATGAGAAATGTTGCTAGATACAAAATCAATGTATAGATAGGTTATACTACCATAATTAGAAAATAACATTTAAAATACTCCATAGTAACAACATGAAATACAGAAGACTATCTAAAATAAGCAAGGTACCTATGTGAAAAACTACAGAAATACTGTGAGGAAATTAACTGGATAAACAGAATATATTATTTCTAGATTGAAAATTTAACATTGTGAAAAATTTCAATTCTCCCTACATTTTCTGTAAGTTCAGTGTAATCCCAGTAAAAGTTTCAGAAAGTTTTTCTGTGAAAACTGATATGTATGTTCTACATCCTAAATGAAAATTCATTCATCATCAATGAATTTGAAGGGTTTTACATGACCAGATTTTGAAACGTACTGTAAAGCTTCATAATTAAACAGGACCCATTTGTGCAAAAGTGGCCAAATGGACTAATGGAGAATGTATAGTCTGGAAGTACATCTAACCATATGCTCCCCGTGCATAGTTAAACCCTGCTGCCTTGTACACAGAAGAGTATAATTCTCACTCCTTCAGTAGCTAGTAATCCAGGCTTTATCCTTCAGAGCATTCATAAAGAATCAAGAGATTTGCCTAGGCTGCAGTTTGGCAGTTCGAAGTGTCATGCCTATTTGTGAAAATGCAAATTACATTCACGGGGTGGAGGGCCATACCATAGTAGTAAAAACACCTCAAGCAGCATATATGTTCATGAAGTGCCCATAAAATTGAGTGGTAAGCCTGGGATGATCAATGAGACTTTGTCCTACCTGCTGGTTCTAGTGTGTCTTGGTATGCGAGTGTCATGCTTCACCTATCAGGAGGTTTTTTTTTCCCCAGCCACATGCACGGTACATTAGAACTGCTTTACCTTGTGATGACAGAGAACATCTAGTGCAAGTGTGCGTATGCAGTGATAATGGCTTGGGCTCTTGAGCCCTCCAGACTATGTAGGGTTCAAATCCTAGCTCTGCTCTTACTATCTGTGTGTCTTGGGCAGGTAACTTAACCTCTCTAGGCTCCATGTCTGTCTGTAAAATGGAGATACTAGTAGCATATACCTGATGGGCACATTTGTTCTGCAGACTGGTACTGGTACATACTTTATAGTCAGTAACTTCTTCCCAACATGGTTGTTACTGCAAACTGGGGGAATTTGGCTTTCTCCAGGGAGGCACAAGGGATTTTCCAGGGAAATTTAGGAACTCCTTCTACCTTTATCTTACGTGTTAGAACTCAACCCCATAATGAAATGTGATTTTCTGTACCTGCCTTGTTTTCATGCTTTGTTGAGGAACAGGCACGCAGCTATTGCTGCTTGAGGAACAGGCATATGGCAGGGAATGGAAGACAGCCTGTGGGGCAGCAGAGCAATGTGTTAGAAAAGATGTGTTCCTAGCCAGGCGCCCGTGGCTCACGTCTGTAATCCTAGCTACTCAGGAGGCTGAGATCTGAGGATTGTGGTTCAAAGCCAGCCCAGGCAGGAAAGTCCATGAGACTTTTATCTCCAATAAACCACCAGAAAACCTGAAGTGGTACTGTGGCTCAAGTGGTAGAGTGCTCACCTTGAGCTGAAGAGCTGAGGGACAGTGCCCAGGCCCAGAGTTCAAATCCCATGACCAACAAAAAAAAGAAAAAAAGAAAAAAAGAAAAGATGTGTTCCTATAGAGGCAGTGTAGGCATGCAGTGTTTAATGTTTATATAAGCACATGTATCTCAGCCACCAGCTTTTCTGCACTACGGTCCACTAACCTTTCTCAGGCAATCATAGCCCTTGTAGTACTTCTGTCCCCTGCTGTCCACAGGATCCAATGGGGGAAAGTGCCACCTGCTCAGTCTCTGGTCCCATGATACCACTTAAGGGAACACGTTGAAGCACCCACTTCTGCGACACCCAGCCCAGGAACCCCTAGCTCACCACTGATAGTTACTTTGAAGAACTCCAAGGAACTTTCTAGGAGGCTGATAGCCATGTCACCCTCCTCCCACTTCCACTTGCAGGCACAGCCTTTCATTTACTTTCCAGGACTACCAGAATTGAGGCAGAGCGATCCCAGGCCTTACCCACCTGCTTGCTCACAGAGGAGCCACTCTTTACTCTCTGCTGTGGCTGGACGGCCCTGAGGTGACAGGCTGGCCCCACCCCCAGCCCCACAGGCCGAGGCAGCTGCGGGTCCCTGCAGGAAGCCTGACTGGTGACAGGCAGCGTCTTGCTTGCTTCCCTTGCTCTCATCTTATGGTTTGACTTCTTGAATTTTTGTCAGGAAAACCAGTCACTTAAACACTGAGCCAACTGGTGAATAATTCTTCTTCCTCCTCCTCCTCCTCCTCCTTTTCTCCTTCTTCCTCCTTCCTCCTCCTTCTTCTCCTTCTTCCTCCTCCTTCCTCCTCCTTCTCCTTCTTCTTCCTCCTTCTTCTCCTTCTTCCTCCTTCCTCCTCCTTCTTCTCCTTCTTCTTCCTCCTCCTCCTCCTTCTCCTTCTCCTTCACCAGTGAACAAATACATCCAACCACATGGGTATCTTCCAGCCATTTTTCTTTTTTGACAGTCCTAGGACTTGAACTCAGGACCTAGGCCCTGAGCTTTTTCTGCTCAAGGCTAGTACTCTACCACTTGAGCAACAGCTGCACTAATGCTTTTTTTTTTTCAGTAGTTTATTGAGTCTCATGGACTTTCCTGCCCTGGCTGGCTTTGAACCACAATCCTTAGATCTCAGCCTCCCAAGTAGCAGGGTTACAGATGTGAGCCACTGGCACCTAGCTTTGTCCAGCCTTTATAAACCATGTTACTTAAGATTCAAACATCTAGGCTGGGAAGGTGGCTCAGTGGTAGAGCGCTTGCCTTGCATGCATGAGGCCCTGGATTCGATTCCTCAGCACCAATAAGAAAAAAGCCAGAAGTGGCGCTGTGGCTCAAGTGGTAGAGTGCTAGCCTTAAGCTGAGGAGCTGAGGGACAGCGCCCAGGCCCAGAGTTCAGGCCCCACGACCGGACCCCCCCCAAAAAAAGATTCAAACATCTGAGCCTGAGCCGGGCGCTGGTGGCTCACGCCTGTAATCCTAGCTACTCTGGAGGCTGAGATCTGAGGATCACGGTTCAAAGCCAGCCCGGGCAGGAAAGACTGTGAGACTCCTATCTCCAATAAACCACCAGAAAACCGGAAGTGGCGCTGTAGCTCAAGTGGTAGAGCGCTTGCTTTGAGCTGAAGAGCTGAAGGACAGTGCCCAGGCCCAGAGTTCAAGCCCCACGACCGACAAAAAAAAAAACAAAAAACAAAAAAACCCATCGGAGCCTGTTGGTGTATCCACAACCAAAAGAGGAGTGTGCACGCTATGTTAGAGATATTAGCATAGGAAGGACTTAGTTCCCCCAGGCCCAATGCCCGGGAGCTAGTCTTTGAGAATCTACTTGTTCTTTCCCATTTCTTAGAAGAAGGGGAATAAAATTTTAGTAAGTTCTGTTTTAAGAGAATTTGCATAGTGTGTCTAAAATGGCATGTGAACATGCAGTTATTATTTCACAGTAGTGATATAAATTATTGTTCACTTATGTGTTCAAATTGAGGAATCTTACATACACATATGGTGCTTTAGATTGTATCTTTCAAGTTATCCTGAAATGTTAATATCATCTCTTTTTTTTTTTCTCCCTTGTTTCTAGAATCTTTTCCTTCTTGGACATAGTAACTTTGTGCAGATGCGCACAGATTTCCAAGGTATTCACTAGAGTTTTCAATGAATATACAGTTTTTTTTTAGATTAAGTATGAATTTTAGTTTAGTAAATTATTAAAATTAAAACATCTTTCATAGTGAATATAATGCAGTGTTGGCATACTTGTACATTTGATTATTAACTTGATATATATCAACAATACCAGCCAGGTGCTGGTAGTTCTCACCTGTAATCCTAGCTACTTAGGAGGCTGATATCTGGGGATTGCAGTTCAAAGCCAGCAGGGGCAGACCCATCCGTGAGACTCTTATCCCCAGTAAACTACTCAGAAAAAACTGGAAATGTCACTATGGCTCAAGTGGTAGAGCGCTAACCTTGAGCACAAAGAGGCTCAGGGACAGTGCCCAGGCCCTGAGTTCAAGCCCCAGGACTGGCAAAAAATTAAAATAAAAAAAAATTGGAAATACAAGTTGAGTCAAGACTTTAACAGGCTTATTATGTATCTGTTTTATCCTTATCCCTCTTCTTTTTTCTCTACCTCCTAGGCTTGGAATGTCTTGGCCCTGGATGGAAGCAACTGGCAAAGAATAGATCTCTTTAACTTTCAGACAGATGTTGAGGTAAGTTAGAGAACTTTGGCTGGAACAAAAGACTTGTAAAGGGAAAAGTAGATGTTTTTCTCTCTCATACCTAAATTTTATTTTGCTGCATTTACACTTAATAAATTGCCAAGGTGGGACACAGAAAAGCCTGAAAAATATTTACATACAAATGTTACATGTATTTTTGTTTTACTTTTTTAAAATCAATATGATTGCATGTCCCCTTGTTTACATTTTACCATTCATCTGTTTAAAGCTTCACACCTGTACCATTAGTACCTGTGTTAGGCCTTTAATCTTAGGAAACTGACAAATACTTACTGATTTGAAAGATCCTCTAGTAGTTGGGATTCAGCATTAAGAATGGAGCAGGTGGAAGCACAGGCCTGGAGTTAGGCTGGATATGTAGTGCCACCCAGCTTGGCCACTTGGGCTGTGTAGTCTTGCAGTGCTTCTGTTTTATTATGTGCAAAATAAAGATGCAAAGGGCCAGCATGCAGCTATTCAAAAGATGGAGATTGGGAGTGTGTGGTTTGATTCTAACCTGGACAAAAAGTTGGTGAGATCCCAGGTCAAACAGTAAACTGATTGTAACAATATGTGCCTATCATCACAACTAAGCTAGAGGCCATAGATAAGGTTGAGATTGGCTTCCAGCAAAAATTGGAGACCCTACTGAAGCAAAAAAAGAGCTGGAGGTTTATGGTTTAAGTGGTAGAGCACCTGCCTAGCAAGTGTGAGGCCTTGATTCAAACCCTAGTACCACCAAAAACATTTTTAAAGCCTTTTAGAACTTCAGAATTCTAGTATACTTTTCTCAAATATTTCCATTTCAGAGATAGAAACCTGACTAATGAGGAAAATTTTAAATAACTTAATATTTAATAAATAAATAATAAATTAATTTAATATTAAATGCCAAATTTCTAACTAGAAAGCAAGGGGAGAAGAAGGGTAATTAAGAGCATTGTCTAGAGCTGATATAAGGGTCTTGAGATAATGAAGTATTACCTGCTATTTATAACCTTATTCATGTTTAGTACAGCTAACTCAGTTACAGTAGTGAAATGGACACAGGGTATTGCTATGTAGCCTGGCCTGGCCTTGAACTCGGGATCTCCCTCAACCTCCCCAAATGCTGGGATTGCAGTGTATATCACCATACCCAGTCTTCTTGGAATTACATTCTAATTCTACTAGATAAGGAAATGATAAGAGTCTAAGCAGTTTCCTGCCACTTAATTTTATGACATTCCAAGTGACCACCAGAATTGAGGCCCTTTACCTCTCCTCTAGGTTAAAAGACTGCTCCCATTCAGAACCAGTAGAGCAAGCACCTCTAGCATGTGTGTCGAACAGGTTTTCCCACAGTTGATTTGGAATTCTTTTATTCCTCACATGTGTGGTGCTCCAGGAAATAGAGGATTCATGCATGTTCTAGAAAGACAAATTTTGGTTCCTGCCTTAGGCTGTGGTCCCAGAATTAGGTGCTCTTGATAATGCTTTTACCAGACTGAATAGCAATATGATGGGCCATGGCTCAAGTGACAGAGTGCTTGCTTAGCATATATAAGGAGTTAGCTTCAATGCCCAGTACCACCAAAAATAAATACAAAAGAGGCCGTGTTTGCAATTGCACTATGCAGACCTGTCAGTGTCCCATATCAGAGTAATTCCTCTGCAGACTGATCATCCCTTAAGTCTTTGTTCACTGGGTAAACTTAGGGATTTTGAAAAGAATGTTAAATTCTAAAAATGTTATTTCTAACTGCCATAATGCTCATAATTCTGACAAAAAAATTGACAGCAAAAAAATTCTCTGTGGTGCTTAATGTCTCCTCAGTTTTGATGATTTTTTTCCCAAAGGATGTGACTTTCAGAAAGCATATGAAAAACAAATTCAAATATTAAAAATACTATTTTGTCTGTGTGCCAGTGGTTTATGCCTATAATCCTAATCCTAGCTACTCAGGAGGCTGAGATCAGAGTATTGTGGTTCGAAGCCAGCCTGTACAGAAAATATCTGTGAGACTCTTACTTCAAAATAACCACCCAAAACCGGGCACTGGTGGCTCTTGCCTATAATCCTAGCTACTCAGGAGGCTGAAATCTGAGGATCGCGGTTCAAAGGCAGCCCAGGCAGGAAAGTCTGTGAAACTCTTGTCTCCAATAAACCACCAGAAAACTGGAAGTGGTGCTGAAGCTCAAGTGGTAGAGTGCTTGCCTTGAGCTGAAGAGCTGAGGAACAGTGCTCAGGCCCAGAGTTCAAGCCCCATGACCAACAAAAAACACAAAAAAAAACCCACCAAAAGAACAGAAGTGGAGCTGTAACTCAAGTGATAGAGCACTAACTTTGAGCAGAAGATCTCAGAGACAGTGCCCAGACCCTGAGTTCAAGCCCTAGTACTGGTACAAAAAAATACACATTTCAAAATATACCATTTTGAGGCTGGTATTGTAGCTTGTGGTAGAGTGCTTGCCTAGCATGCATGAAACCCTGGGTTTGATTGTTTAGTATCACATAAAGAGAAAAAGCCAGAAGTGGTGCTGTGGCTCAAGTGGTAGAGAGCTAGCCTTGAGCAAAAAAAAGCTCAGGGACAATGCCCATGTCCTAAGTTCAAGCCCCAGGACTGGACACTCTCTCTCTCTCTCTTTCTCACCATTTTGAAAGGGGAGAGGGGCCCTGAGTTCATGTCCCAGGATTGGTACAGACACAAAAATAATATTTTGATCTATGGGCACCAGTGGTTCACGCCTATACTCCTAGCTGCTCAAAGATCTGAGATCTTGAGATCACTTTTGAAGCCAGGCTGAGCAAGGAAAGTTCCTGGGACTGCTTACCTTCAGTTAGCCATCAAAAAGCCAGAAGTGGAGCTGTCTCAGCTCCAGTGAAACACAGGGCCCTGGCCCTAGTTCAAATCCCAGGGCTGGCAAAAAAACCACATTTCATGCAAAAATCACTATTTTATATATTAATTGATGGCAGAACTTTAACTGACTGCTGGCTTCCAGCTACCTGCTCTGTATTCATTATAATGGATATATGAAAGGAGAGGCCAGTTTACAGTTTGCTAGTTGTTTAAACAATCCCATGCACAACCTGGATTAGCTGGCTTCAGGGTTCAGTATAGTCTCATTTTGTTTAGCTTCTCTTTGGGAATAGCATATCAATCACTCCAGTTTGAATTCTGAATCAGGTGCTGAAGGTCCTCACAGTCTTTAAACAGGTCCATCTGGGTGCTTAGTTAGCCTGGGAAGCATTCTATGGCTGAACCAATGGTCTGAAAGACCTTCTTTTCAAAGGAATGGGATTAATAAAGTCTAAGAAGAGAGAAGGTAACTGAGAGTCAGCATGAACATGCTAACACCACTTACTGTGTGCCAGCGCTGTTCTTTGTATAAATTAATATAGAATCTTCTCAGAACCAACAAATTGAAGAAGCCGAGGTATACAAAGGTTGAGTAACTTACCAAACTCCCTCACCTACTAGAGGAGTGCCTTTAATAGTGCTTGATGACTAGTATGATTCCAGGAGAAGGCAGAATAAAATGTGCAGTGACAAGGGCTCATGGAGTCTTTTCTTCAGCTTTATCCTCAATATATCTGGTTTCTCTGAGGTCAGGAATTTGTAAGTCTTCAAAAGTTGCACATCTGTCATCAGTCTTCTTGGTTGTTAACAAAAAAAACCAAATGATATGTTAATCTAAAAGTCATTAACTTCAAGGCTTTTTTTCTCTTTTCGGCAGTACTGGAGTTTCAACAAGGGCTTCATACTTGCTAGGCAGGTGTTCTACTGTTGAAACATGTCTCTGGCCCATTTTTCCACTGGTCATTTATTTTTGTAATTTTATTATAAAGGTGATGTGCAGAGGGGTTACACTTACATAATTCAGGTAAAGAGTACATTTCTTTTTGGACAATGTCATCTCTTCCCTTGCTCTCTCCCCATTTTTCCCTCCTGTCTCAACCCACATGTTGTATAGTTCATTTTCAACATCCACTGGTTATTTTTGAGACAGGATTTTGCTTCCTGTCTGTGCATGCACTTGGATCAAGATCTGCCTTTTTTACACTTCCAACCATAGCTAAGAATGACATGCATAGACCAAAAGATTCTGTTGAGATGGCATCTGCCAAACTGCCCCTGCTCCTCCTGTTACTACCACCACCACTTCCTCCTCCCTCTGCCCTCCTCCCTCCTCCTTCTTCCCTCATCCCTCCTCCTTCTCTTCCTTCTTCCCTCCTCTTCCTCCTCCTTCTCTTCCACCTCCTCCTCTTCTTCTTCTTCCTTCCACCCCCACCTCTTCTACCTCTATTACCATCACTACCAAGGCCTGAACTCAGGCCTCTCTGTGCTCTCCCTTGGCATGCTTTCTTGCGGATGGTGCTCTACCACTTGAGGCACTCCTCCAGCACTCCCAAGGCTCTCTTTAGCCCATTTTAAGTCTTTTTTCCCCCACTAAAGCCCTTCATTCTAAAATATATATCTGCAACTACCATATAGTAGATAAGCTTGAATATTATGTTCAGACAGGATTTGTTCTTCTTTTTCTTAGTTGCAAACATATTACTATGGTTTTAATTTTTTTAATACCAGTACAAGAACTTTTATGCCAAAGAAAAAGGAATAGCAAGTATACATAAATGTAACTACCTTGAAATGGGGAAAATATGCTAGGTATTCATTTGTTGACATTTATGTAAAGATTTTTGTATTTATTAGGTATTTAAGTACTAGATTTCCAAGTCAGAGTTCTTTCCACCATAGTGGTAATTATTTTAGATTGTTTAATTTTGCTTAAAAATAATAAATTCAACTGGGCGCCGGTGGCTCACACCTGTAATTGTAGCTGTGCAGGACGGTGAGATCTAAGGATCACAGTTCAAAGCCAGCCTGGGCAGGAAAGTCTGTGAGACTCTTATCTCCAGTAAACCACCAGAAAACTGGAAGTGGTACTGTTGCTCAAGTGGTATAGCGCTCTCTTTGAGCTGAAGAGCTGAGGGACCCACCCAGGCCCAGAGTTGAAGACCCCATGACCCACCAAAAAAAAAAAAAAAAAAGAATTCAGCCAGGTGCTGATGGCTCACGCCTATAATTCTTGCTACTCAGGTGGCTGAGATCTGTAGAACTTGATTCAGAGCCAACCCAGGGCAGGAAATTTTGTGAGATTCTTAACCTCCAACTAACAACTACAAAGCTAGACGTAGAACTAGAAGTGCCAGCCTTGAGCAAAAAAGTTAAGTGACAGCACCCAGGCCCTAAGTTCTGGCCCTAGTACTGGCATACACTTACAGAAAAATGAATTCAAATAGTCCTAAAGCAAATACAATAAATGACTAGAATGTATGTCAAAGTTTGGATTTTGAGCTTAATTGGGACACTAGCCAGGTAGCAGTATATGAGCTCTCACCGTACAATGTTGTTTTTCTTTTTGAACTGAACATCACCTCAGTTTATTGTCTTCATAAGCATATCTGGTGCTGGACTATGTGGGCCTTTCTCTTCTTCTCTCTTCCCAGTTAAGAATGTGTGTTTCTCTTACTAGCCAACTTCCCTGGCATCAGTGTGTGTTCAGCACACCCAGCCCTTTTCCAGAATATGGTTTCATGTGCCTTCCACAGCTGCTCTGTGTTTCCTGCAAGCATGGAAGACCCATGCTCCCCTCTCAGGGAGACCCTGTAGGTTTTAGAAATGGTCTGGCATTGTAGGTGGGAAGGGGGAGATATACAGAGAGATTCCATGCCTCACACAGTGTTGCTGTCTTAAAGTAGGAATAATATTCCAAAGCAAAATGCCATTTGGGACAGGATCTTGCTAGTCCAGCCTGGCCTCAAACTCAGATAAAGCCTCCTGTCTCTACTTCACATACCATGGCCCCTGCTAAAATGCTTCCCATTTTTCTTTTGTGGGTCCTGGGCCTTGAATTCAGGGGTTGGGCACTGTCCTTCATTTTTTTTTGCTCAAGGCTAATGTTCTACTACTTGAGCCACAGCTCCACTTCCAGCTTTTTGGTTATTTGGAGATAAGAGTGTCATGGACTTTCCTGCCCAGGCTGACTTTGAACCATGATCCTCAGATCTCAGCCTCCTGAGTACCTGGGATTACAGGTGTGAGCTGCAAGCACCTGGCTTAAATGACCCCTCCTCTGTTGAGGAGGTAGGGGTCATAGCTGTTGTTTATGACTGATCTCTATTCCCTTTGCCTTAGCAACATTCTCAGCCATAGTTCTTTCTCCTGGGAGAGATCCTGCCCTTTGTTCTGAAGGGTCTGGGCTACAGCTCCCCTGCTGGCACTAGATGGTTGTGTCCCAGGGTTGTGATTATAAAAGGACACACTGGTCTGTGGACAGTCTTCTTTCCTGCGTTGTGTAGTGTGGTCCACAGGAGCGGCAAGTGTTAGCATGGTTGTCTCCTGTCATCTCTGTGCCAGTGGTTGGCAGAGCCTTTTCCAAGGGAAGCTGTCTCAATGGGGAACTGCAAAGGAGGATGGCAAAGGGCTTTGACAGTACGTCTCCACAGCTTTAGGAGGAGTAATGTTTAGCAAAGTGGGATAACTTTTAAGTAGCACTGCTGTGCTCTGTGACAGTGTCTTACCACTGACCTTCAAAGCCTTTGGCCTGATGTAGTACCTGGGTGTCAGAAGCAGTGTGCAGCCTTTCCAGAGGACACTCAGGGCTTTAACTGAAGGCCTTCCATGCTTCATCCCCTTTGTGCACTAGCCATACACATGTGTGGGAGGAGGGCACCAAAGTCGTGTCGGAATATTTCAGGTCATTTTGCTAGTAGACATACAGCCTGAAAAAGTGACACCTTTCCCCAATTTTGTCCTTAAGGGTCGTGTGGTGGAAAACATCTCGAAGCGATGTGGCGGATTCCTGAGGAAGCTCAGCCTGCGAGGCTGCATTGGTGTTGGGGACGCCTCCTTGAAGTGAGTCACATGCACAGGGAACACTGGCAGGGCAGCTTGTAGCTGGCGTTTTTCTCAGCAAAAATAAACCATGCATGTTGCATGCTTTTTTATGTGGAGTTCTTTCTATGGATTTACAGAATGAGAGGACCATGACTTTGGAATAACAGGTGAGTCCAGTGTTGTTAGAGATGTGGTCTTAGGTCAGTTGCTTCACTCAGCTGAGTGTCAGTCTGCTCTGAGTATCAGGGACCCATTGCAGTGCTTGACTGACATGCTGCAGGGGTCCCAGGAAATGCCTGGGGGTAGGCCTGCTGTCTTACAACATTACCACATAGTACTGTCCTCTCTTCTGCTGTGCTTTCCTTTTCAGCTCCCTTGCTTCTTATAAATTATACTAACTTAAAAATGTTCTGTCAAAAATTTCCTTAGTGTAGTTAGAATTTTGCTTATTCATGATGGATTATTACACTTTTTTTCTTTATCATAAGCAATGTAGCTTCCCAACTAAATGTCTGCTGGATAGCCATTGTTAATTGGCAATGTCATCAAACCATTCTTCAGAGTAGATTCTCATTAGAAATAATTTAATACAAATAAGGTATTGATTCTTATACAACTTACAAGATTCCTGTAACCAAAATATTCAGCAGCGTCATCCCCTAGAATGGGGTTTCAGTTGTTTACTCTGGAATTCTCTGATGATACGAAAATCTCCGCTGTCCCTGCCTTGCTGTCACAGAGAGCCTTAGACTGCGTGCATATCACTAACCCAGGAAAAAACCTTCAAGTAGGATTTCTCCTAAGTGTGTATTTAACTAAGTTAAATGATCGTAAGCAAGGAGCTCATCACTGTGCATACTCACTATCTGTTCGTGGATGTTTGCATGCTTTCCAGTTTTGGGCTGTCACACACGCACAAAATGAGTGGCTATGAATGGGTACTAGCCTGTGTGTGAATCATTCTTCATTTCTTCTCATGAATCCCTAGCAGTGTAATGTCTAGACCATTTGGAAGGTATAGGTTTAATGTTTAGTTTTGTGCTACTATTAGGACTTGAACTCAGAGTCTGGGCACTGTCCCTTAGCTTTTTTGCTCAAGGTTGGTGGCGCTCTACTGCTTGAGCAATAACTTCATTTCTGGCTTTTTGGTGGTTAATTGGAAGTAAGAGTCTCATGGATTTCTTGATTCAGGCTGGCTTTAAACCTTGATCTTTAGTTCTCAGCCTTATGAGTAGGCTTTTCTCCCCCCTTGAGACAGGTTCTTTGTATCTCAAGCTGGCCTTAAAGTATGATCCTCCTGCCTCAGCCTCCAAGTCCTGGAATTACAGATGTATGCTGCCATGCTTTTCTTTTTGAAGTAACTGTTTTCTGAAGAGACCATACATTTTAAATTTCTACCAGTATTATGTGATAGTTTTGATTCTGGCTCATTCTGACCATCTCTCGAATGTTCAGTCCTTTAAGGTTCAATTAATTCTGATTGTGTACAATGGAACACACTGTGACTTTAACTTGCAGCTCTCTAGTGATTAATCTGTTGAGACTTTTTCTATATAGTCTTCAGATCACTTGCCTCCTCTCCTCTCCTCTCCTCCCCTCCCTTCCCCTTCCCTCTTCTCTCCTTCTCCTCCCCTCCCCTTCTCTTCCTTCCCCACCCTTCTCCTCACCTCCCTTCTTCTCCCCCTCTCACTCCCTCTCTTTCTTTTCTTCTTTCTCTACTTCCCCTCCTTCCTTCCTTTTCATCTCTATTTTCTCTTCTCTTCTCTTTTCTTTATTTTTTCTTTTCTTTTTTTTCACGGGGCTTGAACTCAGGGCCTGGGCACTGTCTCTGAGATCTTTTTGCTTAAAGCTAATGTTCCACTTGTAGTTTTCTTGTGGTTAATTGGAAATAAGAGTGTCATAGACACAATCTTCAGTAGCCCAGTCCATTTGCCCATTTTCTTTTTCCTTCCTTCCCTCCTCCCCCCCCCCCCCGCCGTCTCTGTGTCTCTGTCTTTCAGTCTTTCTTTCTGCCAGTCTTTCACTCAAGGCTAGCACTTTACCATTTGAGCCACAGTTCCACTTCTGGCTTTTTCTGTACTGAGGAATCAAACCCAGGGCTTCATGCATGCTAGGCAAGCACTCCTACCACTAAGCCACATTCCCAGCCCCATTTTCTAATTACATTCTTTTCATTGACTTTTGAGAGTTTTTGTTTTAGTACGTTCTACATACAAGTCCTTTGCCAGACAGGTCCTTCACAAATACTTTCTCCAGTCCATGGCTCATCATTCACGCTCAATCACCTGTTAGATAAGAAGTTTTTGGTTTTTTTTTTTTAAATGAATTTCAGTGCAGTTTGTCACTTTTTAAAAAATCTCATGGAGCATGTTTTGGTGTCAGGACTGAATCCTGACATTGTTGAAGCTGCATTTCAGGATGATGCAGGTGACCTGAGCTGGCTTTGTTGAACATGTTAAACGTTAAGTAAACCATCATCAGGGATAGTTAGTTTTCTGCTTCTGGCTTGGCACCATCCACAGATCACTGAGAAATTTGCCCCTTATCACTTGCTAGGAAATGGAGTTCTTGATATTAAAACTCCTGAGCCTTCTCAGTGACCAGTGGTGGTTTCTCCAGACAGGCCCTAAAGTAACCAAGTGACAACATGGTATAATTCCCGCTTTGTTTCAAATCCATTTTCTGTAAGAAGGAGCAGGGAGCCAAGCCTCCAATCCCTCATGACTGACTGAGCAAGGGGTGGCTAACAGAGGGCTAGTGGCGAGTCTGCAGTTTTACTTTCCAGATTAGATACATTACCCCCTCTAGAGCTTCATAAAAACTACAGGTCACCAGGCCCCACTCTGCATCAATGTGCACCCAGTAGAACTGAGTTGTGAGCACATCAAGTAAAGTTTGAGAAACTCTGGTTACGTGTGCCCTCTAATGGCTGCCTAACAGATTGCAGGCTGTTTTAAGACATTTTCTTGTTTTTAGGACCTTTGCCCAGAACTGCCGAAACATTGAACATTTAAACCTCAACGGGTGCACGAAAATCACGGACAGGTAAGTAATTAGGATCACTGTGGGGACTTGGTGGCCACGGGGAGAGCAAGAGGAGAGAAACATGGTTGAAAATGTCTTTAGTGTGTCTGCTTTGTTTCAGCACATGTTACAGCCTTAGCAGATTCTGTTCTAAGCTGAAACATCTGGATCTGACCTCCTGCGTATCCATTACAAACAGCTCCTTAAAGGGCATCAGGTAAGAGTGCCTGTTGTCTACAACCAGCAAAATACTCAACGCATAGGATATTCTGTGTGTCTGAAGCTTTCCTGATGGTCCTATTGGAACAAGAAATAGGCAGCCAGGATAGGTCCTGGGTTGTCTCCCTCCCTTTATCGCTTGTTAACTTCAAAGCTGGTAATAAGCTGTCTGCAGGAGAGGCTGGACAGAGCTGTTTTTGTTCCTTGCTCTCTCAGCGAGGGCTGCCGAAACCTGGAGTACCTGAACCTCTCTTGGTGCGATCAGATCACGAAGGATGGCATCGAGACATTGGTGCGAGGGTGCCGCGGCCTGAAAGCCCTGCTCCTAAGGGGCTGCACACAGGTAGAGGGTCCATGCGGCCGGCCGGCCGAGGGGTGTGTTTCTTGCCTGCCGCCTTTTCTTGGTTCCTGGCTTGTTCTCTCACCTGGATCGCATCCCTTTTTTGTTTTCTCTGTACACTCAGTTAGAAGATGAAGCTCTGAAGCACATTCAAAACTACTGCCATGAGCTTGTGAGCCTGAACTTGCAGTCCTGCTCAGTAAGTAGCAGCTTCCTGCCCACTAGCTGTTTTTAACTTATAAGTTGATGTCTTTAATTTCTCATTGGGTAAAAAAGAAATAACAAATTTTGAAAATGACTTGAAAAACCAAAGGCACTAGCATATAGGCAAAGTCGCATTCTCAGCAGGACTCATGTTGCTGGGTTTTCAAGGGAACAGATCTTGAGGAAAATTCTTACATTTGGCTTTCAGTGAGTGAACTCCTGATAGTGGCAGATAAAACAAATGATGTGGTTAAATCTCCACTTCATGGGCCTGGACCCTTGAATTACATGTAGGATAGCACTGGCAGATGGCTATAGTGCACTTCAGATATGCATGTTTATTCCTACATGAATTAGTATATTTCAGTGAGGATGGCATTTTGAGTCTTCATGGCTGAATTACAATTTAAAGGATTTTATCAGTTCCGTGATACATTAGATTTTCCTATTCTCTGAATCATTGAGAAAGTATTATAAACACATCTATGATGTTATGATGAATGTCTAAGACAGCCAAATGTGGAAGACAGTCAAATATTAATGTCAACTAACTAGGAAATATCATGAGCTTTGCTTGATTTATTTTTTTAATGGCTGCAGGTGGGGAGTGGAATTTTCACAGGTAGTGCTAGAACATTTGAAAGCAGTGTAGAGATAATGCAAGTACCTGCCTGCCCTCTGCTTCTCCTGTTTTGTTGAAGTTATTAGGCTAAAGCGCTGGGAGCCAGCCACCCAGCTCAGTGCACCGCAGTGGACCCTGTTTCTCTGCTGCTCCTGCTTCAGTGCTGGTGTCCCTCACTTTCCTTCCTGTGCTGCTCTTCCCAGCGCGTCACGGACGAAGGTGTGGTGCAGATATGCAGGGGCTGCCGCCAGCTGCAGGCCCTCTGCCTCTCGGGCTGCAGCAGCCTCACCGATGCATCTCTCACAGCCCTGGGGTTGAACTGCCCAAGACTGCAGTGAGTATGCCACCATGCTTTTTGTCCTGGGGCCCAGAGCCTGTCTGGGCTGACTGAGAGAGCTTCTTGTAGGAAGTGGAACACTGGCCAGCAAGTGGAAGGTGGGGTGTGGAGGCAGTACTTGCATTGTCAGGTCTTGAGGGTGAACAGTGAGGAACACCTTCAACCAGGGGCATTCAGGACAGGCGGCAATGTGTAGTAAGGATGAATCTCAAGCGTCATTTCCTGATGGAATCATGCATTTGTCTCTGATCTGCCTCACTGTGCACATCAGAGACATCTGGTGGCCTTGTCCAGATGGCCAAGGATCCCTCTGCACCTGCTTGCCAGTGCACGGAATGAGGGAGACCCCCAGTCACTCCTCAGTTACCGCTGTCCTCCACAGGGCGAAGCTTACGCTAATAAGCACCCACTGGTTTCTGATTCTTGTGAATATTAAAAGTTTCATGATAGTAATGAAATTAAAAGCATGCAGAGCTACCTTTGAATCTTCATGGCTCTGTGCAGGTGCTGCTGTGAGCGTAGAGGAGAAACAGGTTCAGAGGGAAGTTACACCATTTGTTCTGGGCCTCATGATGAATAAGGGAAAAATTGAACTTCCAGAAGTTGGTTTTAGAACTCTTATACAAGAGACAGAAAAAAAAAATACTTGTTTAAAAAAGTATACAGCAATGAGACAGATGCATTTTCATGCTTCTATCACTTGTTTTTCTTTTGGCAGTCCTGGGGTGTGAACTCAAGGCTCTGTGCTTGCTAGCCTATGCCACTGCTTGAGCCATACCTCAGACGCCTTTGCTTTTGGTGGTTTTCCAAGAGAATCCTGCCTTTTGCCAAGGCCGGCCTGGACTGCCGTCCTCCTTCCCATGCCTCTCTTGATGGGATGACAGGTGTGCACCACCATGCCCGGCTTTTCACTTCCTTCCCTCCCTCCATCCCTCCCTCCATTCCTTTCTTCCTTTCTCTCTTTCTCTTCTTGCTTCCCTCTTTCTTCTTGCTCTCCTTTCCTTTCTCCCTTCTCTCTCCTTTCCCCTCTCCAAATTTTGGACTTACAAGTGCTCTAACATTGAGCTATGTTCCTGACCACTCTGGCCAATATTATTGCTTGAGATCAGGTGTGGTGAACTTTTTTGCCAGGATTGGCCTCAATCTCAGTCTCCCAAGTAGCTAGGATTACAGGCATGAGCCACCATGCCTGGCATGTCACTTAGCTTTTGAGAATCATGTATTCTGTTCTTGCCCATTTTCTTACTGTTGAGTTAGAGAAGGTCTGGCTAATTTTGACATTTCTGCTTAGTAGAATTTTCTGGGTGGTTAAAACTTATCAGAAGCCAGGTGCTGGTGGCTCACACCTGTAATCCTAGCTACTTAGGAGGTTGAGATCTGAGGATCGAGGTTCAAAGCCAGCCCAGGCAGGAACGTCTGTGAGACTCTTTATCTTCAATTAACCATCAGAAAACTGGAAGTGGTGCTGTGGCTCAAGTGATAGAGCACTTGTCTTGAGCTGAAGAGCTGAGGGACCTCACCCAGGCTCAGAGTTCAGGCCCCACACTGACAACAAAACAAAACAACAAAAACAAACTTAATCAGGCTGGGAGTTGCTCAGTGGTTGAAAAGTGTGCATTTTGCACCCATGAGGCCCTCAATTTAATCCCAGAAACCTCTCCCGACCCAAAACCAAAAACACCCCAACTCTCTGGGTGCTCATGGCTCATACCCATAATCCTAGATACTCTGGAAGCTGAGACCTGAAGGATGGCAATGTGAAGTCAGAAAGGTCTGTGAAGTTCCAGCTCCAGTTAACCAGCAAAAACAGATTAGAGGTGTGGTTCAAGAAGTAGAGTGCTAGCCAAGCAAGAAAGCCACACAAGTGGGTACAACGCCTTGAGTCCAAACTCCAGTACTGCCAACAAAATAAAGCTCCAACTCACTAGCGAACAGGTTAGAGTTCCTTCTGTGAGGGTCAGTTTCATTTAGAAGTGTCATTCATGTATTTATCCCTACTAAGTATAGGCAATTGAGAATGGACTCATTTTTCATTGTCTTAAATAGGAATTCGGGTAACTGGAGCTCTCAATATACTGTGGATCCAGGGCTGGGGGTGGAGCTCAGTGGTAAGGGCTTCCCTAACATGGCGCTACTTAGTAAATAAACAGAAATAGTACCTGCAGAGGATCCCAGGTTTACTGTTGACAGTTGGGAGACCTCAGGACCTTGGTCACAGCCCCCTAAGTCTCAGGACCCTATCTGTTCTGTAGGTCAGTGTGAGCATCTGCCCCTCTTGGGGCTACTGTTATGAGTTCCAGAGCCGTGTGAACTCATGATTCTGCAGTGTGCAGTGTGTGTGTCTGTGTTAACCACGTGGTACTTTTTTCTCCCTGCATGCCCCTCCCCAGAATTTTGGAGGCCGCCCGATGCTCCCATTTGACTGACGCAGGCTTTACACTTTTAGCTCGGGTAAGGCATAGATTTTTTTAAAAAGCAAACTGTAAGTCACCTCCCTAACTTAAGGTCACTTGGCATGGTTTTGGGGGGGTACAAAAAAACTGGCTTCAAGAAAGACAAGCACAAAAGCAGAGTAGAACAGTGAGAGTATGTTTGGTATTTTTTTCCAGTTAGCCAGAAGTGTAGGGAGCTCCTGTGGAGACCTGACTGTCATTTGGTCAGGTGGAATCCAGTTGGAGCACAGCCTGCCAGGCATTTTCCTCTGTGGACGGCACCTCAGCCTCCCTCAGCTGCCGCGAGGCTCTGCCTGCTGCCCCAGCCTGGAATAGCTTCTGCGGCTAGGGAAGGCAGGGAAACTCAGCACCCTGAGGGCCCCAAAGACAGCAGTATCTCACACTCTTTCAGAATTGCCACGAGCTAGAGAAGATGGACCTTGAAGAATGCATCCTGGTGAGTGGAATCCAGCAGCCCAGCCGGAGTGGGCGGGTGGGTGGGTGACTGCCGCCTGCCACCCTGCCTTTATGCCCAGTGTAGTGGGGGCGGGGCCAGGGCAGTGGGATGTGCAAACACTGGGCTATTCCAATTCCTCACAGAACTTGAGAAAAGTAAGTTTGTATGACCAGAGCCGGTGGGACTCAAGAGGCGAGTCCTGGGGAATCCTCCATCCACTTGCTCGTCGTGTCCTGCCTCTAGGGCCCCTTGGGCCCAGAGGCAAGACCAGAGAATAGTCCTGCCTCCTGAGGAGCGGGAGGTGAGATGGGGGTGCAGAGAGCACTCGCAGCTGGATATCTGCGACACTTTTGCCTCTTTATGTTCCCTGACCCCCATCTCCTGGTGCGGAGGAGAAAGCAGGGTTAGGGGTTCAGTTCTGAAAGACTCCACACTGACGTAGTCTTTCTCCCCAGATAACGGACAGCACGCTCATTCAGCTTTCCATTCACTGTCCCAAGCTGCAAGCCTTGGTAAGTCTGAGCTCCTTGGGACACACCTCATGTCCACCCTGTCTAGCTTCTTAAAACTGCCAGCTCTGCTACTTTCAAAACCTTGGTGGGCTGTGGGGGGAGGAGGGTATCCGAATGTTCCTCTTCTCATTGTATGAGGTGAACCTAATAGGCACTGTGCGCCGATCCCTTCCGGCAAGTTCATATTCCTCTCGTCAGGCAGTTAGGGAGTTTACGTGTTAGAATCCAAGACCGAAGACTGGCCTGTGAGCACGTCTTGTGCTCAGGTGTTTGAGGGCAAGGAGGAATGGACCTGGACAGTTGCCGCAGCACCGCCGGGAGCAGCCTATGTGTGGGAAGCAATTCCATGCCATCCTGCCACAGCCCTGTGACATGGGCACTGTTTGCAGCCTCATGAGTGAAGAAATTCAGGCTCAAAGTAGTTAGCTGCTCAGAGTCCAGATTTCTGGCCTATCTTCCAGCTGTATGATGCTCCACAGTAGCTCAAGCCAGCTTTCTCCTCTGTCTTTGAAACTTGCTCTCAGAGACTAGGATTCTGTAACATTAATGCCTCACTTAGTCTTTTTTTGAATAGTACTGGGATTTGAACTCAGGGCCTTGTTCTTTACTACTTGAACTATGCCTTCCTTTCTTCTTTTTGTTTTCAGGGTCTCATTTTTGTCCAGGATTGACTTTGGGCCATGATTCTTCTACCTGTGCCTGTAGCATAGCTTGGATTATAGAAGGGTCTGGTCACACCCAGCTTCTGTTTGTTGAGATGGGAAGTTAACTGTTTCCCCATCACTTTTCCTTCTTTGTGCATCCCCTCTTTTCCATCAGGCTCAATGCGGCTAGGCTCTGCATAGATCTGAGACCATTTCAGTTTTGGGTCAGAATGCATACTTCATCCAGGGTCTCTGAGTAAATTGTTTCCGTCTATGTGTTGCACAGAATTGTGTAGTTCTAATGATATTTTTGTCCCAGTTGGTTTGGATCTGGTTTCGGGATTGGTTGAACTGAAACTCACCTTTAGTCTCTCAGAGATGGAGGTTTGGGAGTCCTGTGCTTTACTTCCAGCTCTAACCTCCTACCACTTCTCCACCATGGCCTTTCTCTATTCCATCCAGAGACTGCCTGGGCTCAGCACCTCCACAAGATCTCCTCACAGCAGGCATCTCAACTACTTCCTTCCTTCCTTCTTCCTCATGAGCTAGGGCCCACCTTCTTCTGTCAGAGTGTGCAGACAGACCCAGGAGACTGAAAATCCTTCCCCTTTTGTCCCCTATTTTTATATAAACTACTTTGAGAAACAGGACTTAAGAGTAAAAAATAGGTCATAATAGAAACCATAAATCCCCTAGGTGTGGTAGTGCACACCTGTAATCCTAGCACCGGGGTGGTAGAGGCAGGGTAGAGAGTTTCAGCCCCACCTGAAATACAGTGAGGCATTGTCTTAAAGCAATAAGCTGAGTGCTGGTGGCACATGCCTGTTATCCTAGCTACCAGAAGTCAGAAGTCAGGAAGATTTCCAGATATAAACATAAGGCCCCATCTGTAGTGGCATTCACCTGTCATCCTATCTGTGTGGGAAATGTAAATAAGTGGAACATAGTCCAGGTTGGCTTGGGCCTACAGGCAGGACTCTTTATTTGAAAAGCAAGGTAAAAAGGGTTAGTGGCATGGCTGATAGAGTGCCTGCCTAGCAAATGCAGGGACCTACGTTCTACTCCTGCTACCACCAAAAAGCAAAACAAGCAAAAAAAAAAAAATATCTAGAAATCTAAGATACAAACTCTAAATAAAACCCACAAAGAGGTAGGCACCAATGGCTCATGCCTGTGATCCTATCTACTCAGGAGGCTGAGATCTGAGGACTGTTTGAAGCCAGACTGGGCAGAAAAGTCCCTGTGAGACTCCTCTCCAATTAACCACTCAAAAACCGAAAGTGGAGCTGTAGCTCCAGGTGGTAGAACCTTGAGACAAAACTGCTCAGGAACCAACCCTCAGGCTCTGAGTTCAAGCCCCATGACTAACCCCCCCCAAAAAAAAAAACCACAAAGAACAGCAGAAAAGTGAGATGACATTCCAGAGGAAGTCTTCTCTTTGTGATTCTCAGAGAGAAATGCTGTGAACTGCATCACCTCTGTCTCGCTAACTCCCAGTACTCAGTGAGGTCGGCGTGTGACAGGCACTTGCTCAGGCACTTGAGAATAAGAAGATAACTGGCCAGGGGAGGCCCCCTTCGTTTGGCTCAAACTCCCAGCATCCCGTTGAAGACGCTGCGAGGAACACCCCCTGCCCTGATGCAGGAAGTGTGGGTTTTGTTGAGAATGTGGGTCTCACAGTGCCCACCTGCAGCCAGCTCATTTTCACGAATTGAGGGTGGCAGCCAGCGTGGCCTTTGGCCTCTGAGTGTGCCTTAGAACCCATCGTTTCCTCTGCAAACCCCGTGCTCAGCAGGTGACCCCAAAGGAACAGTGCAGAGAGAGCTGAGGGTGACAGGCCCCGATGGCAGAGCCCGGGGCAGACTCCAGCCCAGTCTGGGGAGAAGAAGAGACAGTGCTGTTGGTGGAAACTGGCTTGAATGTTAAAATATGCCTTCATCTTTTACTAAAGATCTGCAAGCAGGAAGAAGTGAAGGGAAAAGGATGACCGCCAGCCTGAAGCTAGGTGACTATTGAAGCCCAGGTCTAAAGGCTTCCATTTCCCCAGGTTCTGCTTTTCCTAAGCAGGCCATTGTGTGCACACTGACCCAGGAATCGCTGGGATTCCCACACAAATGCGAAATCCACAGGACTGTTGCTTGTTTCGGAAGTGAAATACATATTTGCAACAAGGAGAGTCCCAAATTTAGAAGAATGCCAAAGAGTGGAAGTGGAAGATGTGGAGTCATGGGATTTGAGATTTTAGCTTGTAGAATATGTAATGACAGGTTCTGTTAACTATAGAGGGGCTGATTTCCTTTTTGATAACACAGCTACTAAAACCATTTGCTTTGCAACTCACTGCTCCAAGAAGCTACCCAGGCAGTATTTTAGTTTTTATAATAAAAGAGAACCAGGTGCTAGTGGCTCACATCTATAGTCTAGCTACTCAGTGGGCTGAGATCTGAGGATTGCAGTTCAAAAGCAGCTCAGGATGGAAAAGGCCAGGAGACTTATTTCCAATTGACCACCAAAAGGCCAAGAGTGGAGCTGTGACTCAAGTGGTAGAGTACTAACTTTGAGCAGAAAGATGCTCAGGAGCTGGGCACTGATGGCTCATGCCTGTAATCCTAGCTACTCAGAAGGCTGAGATTTGAGGATTTCTGGTCAAAGGCAACCCAGGCAGGAAAGTCCATGAGACTCTTATCTCTAATTAATCACCAAAAAGCTGGAAGTAGGGGCTGGGAAGTTGGCTCAGTGGTAGAGCACTTGCCTCGCATGCCAGCTTTTTTCTTACGTGGTGCTGAGGAATCGAACCCAGGGCCTCAGGCATGCAAGGCAAGCGCTCTACCACTGAGCCACCTTCCCAGCCCCAATCCTGGCACTCTTAAGTTACTAAAAAGACAAGAGCACAGGACCCATAGTTCAAGCCCCAATACTGGGAAAAAAAACTTTCTGCCCCACACAGGGAGCCCATATGCACTCTACCAGCCAGGCCAGCCCAGCTGCAGCAGTGGAAGAGGCCCCTGGCTGTTTCCGTGTTGGACTGGATGCATAATAATCTGCCACTGAGTCGTTCTGGTGTTTGCTCCTTATATACACTGGCCTGTGTTGCTCTTAATCTTGAATCCTCTGATACTAGATCTACCTTTTTATGCTCTCTGGATGGCTTTTTTTTGGTTGTTGGGCTTGAACGCAGAGCCAGTGGGCTCTGTCCTTGAGCTAGAGCTCTACCACTTGAACTGCAACACAGTTTCCCGTTTTTGAGTGGTTAAGTTGCGATGAAAGTCTCACAAGGACTTTTCTGCCTGGGCTAGCTTTGAACTATGATCCTCAGATCTCAGCCTCCTGAGTAGTTAGGATTACAAATGTGAGCCACAGACGCCCGGCTGGCATATTTTTTTCAAGTTGTGTTTTTATATAGTGTCGTGTATGTTTTGCTCTACTTAATGGTGCTAGGCTTGAACCAGGGTCTTGTGCATCCTCGGCAAGTGCTCTGTTGTTACCCAGTAAGCTGTGTTGCACTCCTAGCTTTGGGCTTTTTAAAAAAACCTTTTTTTGGTCTTCTGAGTATGCTGGGATTACAGTAGTGCATACCATGCTGGGCTAGTAACCTTTTCAATTATATCTTGACAATTTCATGTTGAATGTAACATTGATAGTGGGATTAGTGTTCATCACCTTACAGTTTTTCTCTGTTCTCCCTTCCTGGTCTTTTAGATTAGCTGAACTTTTTTTTTTGTTGTTTTTTAAATATTCTATTGACTTTTTTAGTCTCATCCCTGTTCACTGATTTTAGTGGTTACACACTGATCTTGGATCATGGCAGTCCTCTCCTGTTCTCCAAGGCTGCTTTCCTCAGTGGGACTGCAGTTCCCTAGGCATAAGAGTTCATAAGATCCCATCTCAGCAAAAAAGCTAGGCGTGGCAGTATACACCTGTCAACTACTTGCCAGGCCTAAGCAGGAAGACTGTGGTCTAGGCTGTCCTGAGCAACAAAAATGTAGGATCTTCCCTGAAAAGCTAAAAAGTGTTCAGGGTGTGGTACAAGTGGTAACGTTTCCGCCTAGCAAGCATGAGGCCCTGAGAACCTCTGCCCAACTCAACAAATTACCAAATATCAAAACTACTCATTGATAGCCTTTATAAACGTACAAGCGAATGAAAGGCTGCATTGGAACTAGGCATGGTGTTGAATGCCTGTGGTTCAGTCAGCCTGCACTGTGTGAAGACTGTTTCCGTACACACAGATCTCAGCTGTGCTGGTGGGTATGCAATGATGCTCTACTGGAAAATAAATGTAACTGTGGGATCTGAATCCACTCATGTGACCACACTACTGGGGTTTGAATCCAAGGCCTCACAGCTGTTAAGCCAGGTTAATCCTTGAGCCACAACCCCAGCCTTGGTCTTACTTCTTTGGGGAGAGGAGGTGCTGGGCCTCAGGCTGTCATTCTGCTGCCTGACTCCAAAATAGCACGAGCTACCACTCCTAGGTTGTAGAGATGGAATCTGATTTTGTCTAGGCTGGCCTTGAACCTTGATCTTCCCAGTCTCTTTCCAACTTTGCTCCTAATCCTTCAGACATCAGATCTGGGGAGCTATGTGTGCACGTGTCTTTCTCAGGTCAAATCATGTATTTGTCTTGGCTTCAGTCTAATTAGCATGATTTCAATTTTTGGCTTCATCAGTGCAGAAAAGTATAATTTTACCACCCATATGCACACATGACATGCCCATGAGTGGGACTCTTGAAAAAATGATTGATAAGAACCTTACTGTGCACCATTTTTTAAAAAATGAATGGCGACACTAGAGTCACTGCTGTCACTGTCCTGGCCTCTATTCCAGTGGAGAATTAGGCAACAACTGCTCTCAAGGAGTAGATTGAATTTCCTGATAATTGCTGATCTTTGTGGTCGGAAAGCCCCTGCCTAGTCTCAGCAAGCCCATGACCAGAGGACACCAGGCCTTTGCAGGAGCCTCCCTGCCTGATTGAGTAGTGTCTTAGTCCATATCATAGGCTGGATACTTAGAACAAACTGCCTGCTTATTATTGGAAACTAACAGGTCCTGAGGTTTATGGGCTAGCAATCTGGTGAGGATTTGTTTTAGCTGTGCCATCCCATGGCAGAAGGGCAAAGTGGGTCAATAGCCTTGAGCTCTCTGTAGTCTGCAGAATCCACTTAGGCAGATGTACCTTCCATTAGGGCTTCCGTTTCCTCCACTGTTGCACTAAGGCCTAAACTTCCAGCATATGCTTTTAGGAGACAGTTACCTTGGGACACTTCATGATCAGCTGCCATGCACGTACCAGGTGAACATCTGTGAACATCTGCCTTCTCCTCATCCCAGAGCTTGTCTCACTGTGAGCTCATCACGGATGATGGGATCCTGCACCTGAGCAATAGCACCTGTGGCCACGAGCGCCTGCGGGTGCTGGAGCTGGACAACTGCCTCCTCATCACAGACGCAGCCCTGGAGCATCTTGAGAGCTGCCGAGGGCTGGAACGCCTCGAGCTATACGACTGCCAGCAGGTCACTCGAGCAGGCATCAAACGGATGCGGGTAGGTGCAGGAGAAAGGCCCACCTAGCACAATTTCTGCCCCTATGACCTAACATCATTTCTCCATTCTGTTCTAAGCCAGTGGGTATGCTGACTGGTCCTGTTTACAGTTATGTCCTCTTAAACGTTTTCACAGTTCCACTGCTTTGGCCCCAGTCTGGAAAGTTCAACTGGATCTGAGATAAGAGGTTCCATGTAGTCTAGTGATCAGCACCCTTTTAAAACTTGCCATCGTGTATTTCTATTGAGAACAGAATTGCATTCCTTCCCCATAGAAATCACTCACATCATCATCTTGATTTTGTAAGTTGGGGCAAAGTTTCATTTACACCCAGCGAAACTATCCAAGGTTCTTCAGTTCAGCTTACAAACAGGGCTGGTTACTGTAACTCAGCAGAAATATAGTTTCCATTTACCTTTAGAAGGTTCTGGATCTTCCTTTTTGCATGGGAATATGGGGTGACAGGAACAGTTCTAGTTGATGGCAGGTACCTTAAGCGGTAATTGTATTTGAACTATGCCTAGTATTAAGGTAGGATAGATTCTAAATGGACCTGATTTTCTAGGATCACTGTCACAATCCTAGGGTAAATTTCCCTTTTTTCTTCCAGGCTCAGCTCCCTCATGTCAAAGTCCATGCCTACTTTGCTCCCGTCACCCCCCCACCAGCTGTAGCAGGAGGTGGACAGCGACTCTGCAGATGCTGTATCATTCTGTGAGAGCAGCGGCGGCCTGGGCCCAAGGAGTGATGAAGGGTCTTCCTCCAGAAGACTAGAGACTTCCAAACTCTTCTACCATCACCCAAACCTGTTGATTCTCCATTGGGAAAGCACTTACAGGTAAAGAACTTTGGTGTGGATTGCAGGAACTCTGGCAATAGCTTTCACCTGTACTTTGCTGTAATGCAATCAAAGCCAAGCCTTGTGTCAGCACATGGCAAGAGTGGCCTAGTGTAGCCAAGACCACACAGGAAACCAGGATCCCTTCAGAGGTGGGTACCTAGCCTTGGTGTAATCCCTTACACAGATTGTCAGTGTTAGCACAAATTGAACAGCAAAACCACCTGGTGACTTTCTACCTGATCCTTAAGCCAGTGGCCTACTTCCATTTTGATTAGCAGGACTTTTCCACTTTGTAGATTAAAGAGCAACTTTATCAAAGTGACTACTGCAAATTCATGATGCCTGATAGTTTTATATGTAGAAACCTATGTGGAAGGCATGTTAACAGATTTATGTAAAACACCAAAGAAATGACTAAACTGGGTGAGGCAAGGTCTTCACCTTTCTGTTTGTATCAACTGTTACATCCACCTCCAGGGACCAAAAACTGAACAAAAGCAGTTAGGTTTGTGTTACATAATTGGGAAGATAAAACACTCATATGCTATATAGCATATAATGCATTTTTGTTTTTTGTTAAGGGGGGGAAGCCAATTATGCCCACACTTCTCAAAAAATTTAGGAGATCTTAAATATGGGATAAAAGCTTAAATTACAATCAATTAAAAAATGATGGATGGATGCATGTAGAATGGATGTGATTTTAGATATCAGGCTACACAAGAATAATTTAAAAACTTTATATACTTATAACTCAGACAAGTAGTGTTGGTGTCTTTTAGACTCAAAATGAATAAACCATTGAAATGCCTAACAGAATTACATCAAAAGGTGTTACTGTAATCTTTCTTCCATTCAGAAAGCTAAGCAAAATGATTTCCAAATTCAGACCTAGTTACCTTATTTTGATGAATTCTTGCTCTGTGTTGTCCACATTTGTGACCTTTATTAAGATTAGAACTCACCACCACCTTCATTGTTTAGGTATTAATGGTAGCTGACCCTTCCTAGCAACCAGTCCCCAACCTGAAGGGCTGAGAACTTGTGAGAAGTACAACAGGAAAAATGAGAGGTCTTCTATGACTGAGCAATTAAGAAGTGTGTTTAAAGACACACTGCCACAGCTACATTGTAGGTGGAAAAGGCAGACCCATACATGCCTGCCACGCTGACTCAGCAGGATCACCAGAGTATTAAAAAGCTGATGACTTTTATCGCCTTTTGATATGTTCCAGTATTCCCTGATTTAAGTTGTATGAATGCCATAGCAGTTATTTAAATACATACCCTGCAGGATGTATGACTGATGCTGGAAGCCACTTAAATAAATGAGCATATTACAAGGCTTGTTTGAGTGATTTAGTTTCTATTTAAAAGTGAAATGAGGGCTGGGAATGTGGCTTAGTTGTAGAGTGCTTGCCTAGCATGCATGAGGCCCTGGGTTCGATTCTTCAACACCACATAAACAGGAAAATCCAGAAGTGGCGCTGTGGCTCAAGTGGTAAAGCACTAGCCTTGAGCAAAAGAATCTCAGGAACAGGGGGCTGGGAAGGTGGCTCAGTGGTAGAGTACTTGCCTTGCATGCATGAGGCCCTGGGTTCGATTCCTCAGCACCATATAACCAAAAAGAAAAAAAGCCAGAAGTGGCGCTGTGGCTCAAGTGGTAGAGCACTAGTCTTGAGCTGAAGAGCTGAGGGACAACGCGTAGGCTCAGAGTTCAGGCCCCACGACTGGACACCCCCCCCCAAAAAAAAAAGAATCTCAGGAACAGTGCCCAGGCCCTGAGTTCGACTGGACACCGCCCCCCCCCAAAAAAAGAATCTCAGGAACAGTGTCCAGGCCATGAGTTCAAGCCCTAGGACTGGCAAAAAAACAAAACAATATCTAAAACCTGAAATAACCAGTGCCTTATACATTTTGAGCTAGGAGACAACTGCTCACAGAACTAGACTGGATGCTGTGTAGACCACAACCTCATTCACAGACAAGGGAACTTCTCATAAGACCATCAAGCTGCTGGGAATGGGGGATATACATATAGAAAACCCCAATGATAAGAGCACTTGCCTAGCAAGCACAAAAACTCCAGGTTTCATCCCCAGGACAAAAAAAAAAAAAAAAAAACCAAGTAAGCATGGACCAGTACTGGGATAACCAGTCCTTTATCAGCTTTGAGAAAATGAGCTGCAAACGAGAACAGAGACCCATGGTAGGCTGACCTCCCACAACCGTTGAACTGGGTTATGTGAAAGCTGTGACTTCAAGTGACACAGTAAAGATGTCCAACGAGACACATTTGGAAAACAATGGTAAAACATTTATTATATGGAAAGTGTACATCCTACTATTAAAAACAAAGTAGCAAATTTGCTGGTGCCACAATTTAACCTGTTTCACTGCTGCTCAGTGTAATTTCAAGTTTGAGCTTCTAAATATTTTTACCCCACTTCTAAAACCTGATAAGGAATTCAAAATAGCACACAGCATTAAATGACATTTATTGTTCCATAAATGAGACCTGAAAAGGGATGCTAAATAGACAAGCAAAACTCGTTAAAACAGGAGAAAAGTTCACTTCTTTCCAAGTGACTAGTACAGAAAATGTGGCCAGTCATATGAAAGCAAAGGACAAAGGATGAAAATGTTCAGATAGTGCTGCTTTCTAGCAAATAACTTCTTTTCTGAATAAAAACAAATGTCAAAAGTTTGCACTCATTGAAGTATTTTTGTCTTCTGGGACATTTAAGATTTCAAACTTACAATAATTCCTATTTCCACTGGAACAAGGATAAGACTCAAATAGCACATTCAATGTCAAAAAACTGAATACATCGATAGAGATGCTATCGCTAAAACAGAAGTTGTTTTAAAAACAAAAATTCAGCCTGATACACTACAAGCCAAGAAATGTTTGGTGATGAATTCTGCAAAGGTCTGGATAAAGGGAGGATTGGCTTCCCTTCGGAAATGGTATGTTATTAGCACACAATATTTCCTTTGATGGGAGGCACACTTTTATTTAAAAATTAAAACAGCCATGATTTATGTTTTTAAAAGCCCCTAAACAATGACCAGAATGTCCATGATTGCACTGAAGCTCAGTATTGAGATGTAAGGAACATGTACATACATTTTAGTGTTTTATATGTCATCTAGTGTTTCCATGAGTAATTTCATCTCATTCATACCACCACATCAGAAGCTACCAACAATAACTGCTCCCTCTAGTTAATCTCCTATTTCTAATGTTTTGGTAGGGCTTTGAAACAGATTTTAGTAAGAGCCGGGTGTTGAGTTGTGCACCTATAATCCCAGCTACTACTAAAGAGGCTGAGACAGGATGATCGCTTGAGCCCAGGAATTTGAGGCCAACCTGGGCAACACAGTGAGCCCCTGTCTGCAAAAACTGTTTTAAGAAAAAGGGATGAAGGGTGAAGGAAGGTGGAGAAAAGGAGGAAAATGGGAGAAGAAAAAAAAATCACATGAATTTAAAGGAAAAGGTGGAGTCAAAACATGAAAAGCAGGAACTAAAATGCTAAAAATGGAAGAAGCAGAAGCAAAAAAATTCAATAAATCTGTGACAAAGCAAAAACACAAAAGTCTTTGTACCTATTAGGATTTACACTGATCCTCTCACCAAGGTACTCCTGATAATGCAGTTTGCTTCAAGCCCATCTTCCTGGCTTGGATCTGCCTTAGTCTGTCAGGATTCCATAGACGATCACACACCACACACCCTCACGACTGCTTCAGAGAGAGTGCGGGGTCTCTTACCTGACCACCACCTGCCATGTCTGCACAGTGTACCTCTTGCATCTGAGTCCACTCTGCTTCCAAAACACTCCCCATCTCCTCCCCAGGGCAGCACAAGGGTCAAGCAATAAAAGCCAAACTGGCACAAAAAGGTAAAAATGCCCACAGTAAGTTTTTTACATTCATTTCCAAACTGCATACAGTGTAAAAAGCCAGCAAAGGCTGCTTCTGGAACTGTGTTTACTGGCCTGCACCCCAGCCTCCAGAGCTGGACGCACGCTGGACACACGCTGCCCGGCGTGCTTACTTGCATGAGGCTGCTTGGCTGTGGCAGTGACGGTGAGGAGATCTGCCTCTCATACAGCTCGTTAGGAAGGTCATAGCTTGTGTTTTCAATATGAAACATCACTTATGGTAAAATCCAATCCCAAGACTTCTTGGATTCAGTCTTCACACACTTGTAAGCGTGACTTTATTTGGTACTGAATATAGTTCAGTCTAAGATGTCACTTCAAAATTATGTGGATACCATCATTATTTTCAGCTGCAGAAAAGAAAAAGTATTTTTAGCTGAGCTTAGGAAATTAGGAGTATAAAATCTAAAACTCTGAAATGTACAATCTCTGATTCTAATTCAGAGGTTGCCTTTACTTATTTTAGAGGAAAAGAGCTGACTGCTTGGCTGAAGCTCCTCTTCCCTTAGCCAGTTTCATGTGCACGTTTCCTCATTAGATATGCTGCTCTGACACTGGCTGGCTCCTGGGGGTGCCTTGCTCCCACACGGCTTACTTGGTCTGCAGCAGAGTGGGAAAGGAGGCAGGACCTGGCAGCAAAACAGGTCAACGCACTGTGCCAGGCAGAGGTGCAAGCCAGCCATGCACATATCAGACAACGCGGGCATCTATCTATCCTGGAAAAAACAAACTCCTCAGAGGTAGCCTTGAAATATTGTAAAAGTATTATCACACCCCTTTAGCTAGAAGGCCTTAGTACATGGTGAGAAAACAGTAAAGGCATTTGTGAAGACAGAAAAGAAAGTTTCCACGTGGATATAGGGAAATCCTGTGGTGATTGACGTCAGAAATGTATACTAGTTGCACAAACATCACCACATGATCAACCACATGATCACATGAATTCTGCAAAGGGAAACATGTTTTGAGAGCAAGAGACTGAGCAGAAAGGTGCTAAGCCAACGATGTCTCCAAAGTAGCAGGCGAACTAGTTTAAACACTCAGTCCTACAGGCAACTCTAAGAGTTCAGGCTATAGAGGTCACCACTTCAAAACGACTGTAATGTGACTATAGGTATGTAGCACAAGAGGAATAAAGCAGAAGTTAATTTCAACACTCTGGGGACAGTGTTTTCAAAAGACTGACTACTAGGAAAGGGTGACAAATGGAATCTTCCTCTTCTAGGGGAAGCATCAGTGCTAAAACCTGTCTACCTTTTTACCTTTCAAAAATCCCCTCTGTCTAACCTTTTCATTTTGGAACCTACTTGAGCCTGGTTTAGGCCCACTTTGCACATGACCTCAAGTGAACCCACTGATTTCCACAGCTTGACTCACTGTGGATGACTGAAGGCTTCCAGTTTTACATCTCAAGGCCAGACCTCTTCTATGTCCCAGAGTGGAATAATTAATTACCTACTTGACATATTTAAAATGGAACTCCACTGCTTTCCTCCAACCTCACTTACCTCTGAAGAGACCACCACCTGCCCAGTAGCTTAACAAAACCAGCAATCCAAATTCCTCCTCCCTCAAATGTGGGGCACAGTGGGTCCTGCCCGTAAACCTGTAAGATCTATTACCTCTGGCCTGTACAGACTCTCTGTCCAATCCTGCCACCTTCTATCTACACAGCATTGTGAAAGCATAAGAAAAATCAAATCTTATTACTCCTTTGTTTAAACTTCAGATTTCCCAATACATTTTAAATAAAATCCAGTCTTCCATCGTCACCAGCTGACTTGCTACCCTGGCTTCCTACCTTGACTCTATCTTGCTCTTCTCACCAGCTCATTGTACGGCCTCTTTCAGGCCATCACAGCAGCCAAATGCACCCCTGCACACACAGCCCCACCCTGCCTGAACACTGTGCCTGTGCTCCATGCCTCATTCTTCCAGCCACTTCCTTGGAAATGCCCTCTCTAACAGCTCTAGGTTCTCCATCCCACATCCCTCCTTTAAACCACTTTCTTTTTCATGACACTTAAAATGCAGATAATTTTTGTGTATCTGTGGCCAGTTTGGGTGTGTGTTCATCAGCAGAGAAACAAAGTTACAACTCTAAAAGAACTCTAAAAGCATGACATCTGACAGAAAATAAAATGCTGGCTGAATGAACAGATTTTTTTTTCCATTTCTTAGAACTATTCAAAATAATCTGCTCATCTATTTCTCAAACTCCTTAAAATTAGCAAAGACAATATTTTGAAGAGTAACAAGCACACAGTGGGCTGCTAGGGACACACACAGTCTTTAACAAATACAGTCGTTCAAGACAGACACATGCCAAGTACCTTTTACTGTGGAGAATAAAAAGCAACTCTCATCTTGAAAGTTTTGAACCATCTAGAAGAAAGCAGACATGTAAGTATAATTAAGATCCAACAGTCCTTTACCATAAGTGATTAGAAATGACTTGAAAAAGTAAGGAAAACCTACATTCTTCTCCCACAAGTACAGGATTCAATTATCACAATAATTCGAAGACAGTGTGAAGTTTACATCTACCATACGGGCTGGTCCTTGTGCTATAGAAGCATGCCCCGACCAATGCCTGAGTGGTCAAGTCAGTTATCAGGTGGCCCCCTGGGGAGCATTCCCTGCCCAGGCCTATGAATAATGGCTAACCCAAACTGAAAAATGTCATCACTTGCTTGTCAATGAAAACCCAGAGACAAAGGGCAGAACTGTACTTCTAACCTTATAGGTCATTTTCCACACTGGTCAGCAAATAGACAAAAGGAGAATATATCTAATGCCTCAATTTATTAAAAGGGACAAAACCTGTCATTGGTTTTAGATTCTTCCAGTGAGTGCTTGAATTCAAGGGGCTTTCTCTGACTAGTACACATATCATCACTGGATGCCTGTAACTCTTGGTTATTCATCCTCACAAATTTTGATCCCCAACCCTTTGAAAATGTTCATATGAGTATTTGCAAAGCAGACCCCACAGAATTATTCTACTGTCTCACAATGTACTTATAAAACTAACAATGTGATAGAAAAGAGTGAATGAGTCTGGCTGTTCAGTTTACCTGATCACTAACAAGGATGTGAATGCCAGTGGGACCCTGTCTGTACACCTGGGTGATTTTGTTGAAAGGAATATTAAACACCGATGCAAGCTTCCGAGCAACTTCTGAGGCAACCATTTCTTCCAAGTAGATTGCATGATAAACTGGAATTAAAGCAGGAGAAAACACCATTTTACTAATAATCTATGATCTGTTTGTACTTGATTGAATATACCTTTTCTAAGTACTAAAGAGATAAAATTTATAAACAAAAACAAGTTAACATTTCTCCTTCCCCTTATTAAAAGGCTACAACTACCCATAGGAAAGGTAATAGAATACAATATAATCTAAAACACATTAACAGTAATCCATCTCATTCACAAAGTGATTTAAGGTTTTAATTGTTTCTGTGCAATGTAATGACCAATTGTAAAAGAATGGGAAGGGTTGAGGCTCAGTGGTGGGGTGCTCACTCAGTACGTACAAGGGATGGGCTCACTCAGTACGTACAAGGGATGGGGTCACACCCACAGTACCACAGACAACAGAATGAATGGGACTGGCTGCAAACAAGCATAGGGACCTTTGTGGGGAAATGACATTCAAACTGGATTGTGGCAATGGCAATGGATGCAAAACTAGGTACATGCACAAAAGTATAACTGAATGTACTTTTTTTTAATGGGAGGATTTATGCTATGCAACTTCTTAAAAGTTGTTTGCTTCAGTAATCCTACTACTGGGAATGTATCCTGAGTAATAAAAGCTCTATCTGCTCCAACCCCACCAATACATAAGGACATAGTTGTGTGTGGTGGCTATTACCTGTTTATCTAGCCACTCAGGAGGTAGAGATCAAATGGATAACAGTGCCTGGGCAAAAAAATTACTCCATCTCAGCAAAGAAACTAGGCACCAAGGAGGCTGTAAGGAGGATCGGGCCCAAGGTGTGTCTCATTCAAAGAACACACAAAATCCTGACCAGGCACTAGTGGCTCATGCCTGAAATCAATCCTAGCTACTCAGATGGCTGAGACCTGAGGATCTTTATTTGAAGCCAGCCTTGGCAGAAAAAGTCCATGAGACTCTGATCTCTAATTAACCACACAACACTGGAGCATAAGCCTTGAGCAAAAGAGCTGAAGGACAGAACTTAGGCCCAGAGTTCAAGCCCCATGACCAGCACAAAAAACAAACCCAAAATGCTGTCCAAAAAATGGCTAAGGCAAGGGGGTTGGAGATTTGACTCAAGTAGTAGAGTCTCCACCTAGCAAGCAGAAGGTCCTGAGTTCAAAGCCTAGTAATACACCCTAGTAAAAACAAAGTGAATGCTACCACCACACAAAAAAAATGGTAAAGATAGAGAAAATGATCCTTCCTTATAAAATGTTCCAGCCATAGTATACCCACTGTCTTTCATTTTGGGGATATATAATTTAACATGCAACATCTGCATGGCATACGTAATGAGTCTCAATCATGTAGGCCCTGGCTCAACTATTGACTCAAGCCAACCATAAATCAGGAATATCACTGCTGAGAACTTTGCTTCTCCAAACAAAGTGTGTGATTATAGGAATGTCTGCTAATAAACATAGCCATATTTATCATTTATGTACCATCTCTGGCTATTTTAACACTACAATGACAGTTATTTTAAGAGGCGTTATGGTCTGAAGAGTTTGATATTTACTGTATTATATGCCCTCAAACAGAAAAGGTTTGCCAACCTGATCAAAGGTTAAGGTCTAAAATATTTCCACATACTCTTCCACCAACATTCGTGTTGGGGACATACATTCCAAAATAATTTTATCTTGCTGTATGTAAAGAATTTATGTATTTAAGATTGTAGGGAAATACATGCACAGCTCCTTTCTCAAGTTGAATGACTTGGATGGAAAAGCTCAAAATTACAACTACTATCCTTGCAACTTCTCAGTAAAACTGAAGCCATAGATCACTTTTTGGTGGTACTCACTCCCTCACAAGTACTACGGAGGTGCTCGGCCACGATCCATGCCCCAGGCCTACGGTATTTTTCAGGAGCTTTGCCTACTTATTACCAGGGCAAATGAATGCCTCTTTGCAATCAGTAATGTATGGTTCTCTGAAAAGTCCTGAGTGTGCTGCATTCACTCGACTTCAGAACGTTAGACAAGAGAGTATAGTGCCAGCTACCTACCATACAATGAGGGTAGGATTTTAAGAGTCCCTCATATCAAGTGTTAAATATTTTTTGAGGAGCTGAGGACCAAACTCAGGGCTTTGCATATGCTAAGTAAACACGCATCATAAAACTACATCCTCAGCCTGTGTCTAGTTAGCTAGGTAGGGATCCTCTTGTGTTCTTGTTGAGCTGCCAGTATTATATTCACTTTCAATAAACTTGAGATTTAATGTGGAAGAAGGCATCAGAATCCTCTAGTATTTAAGCCTCTCTTTCACTTGGTGGTGTGTGGCTGAAATGACTGAAAAAGGCAGTTAGCTTCCTTTGGCCCAAGAGCTGCTACTTCTTTCTGCTGTTAAGACCGGATCTTGTCCTTCTGTTGCTGACAATCTTAGAAAGTGACAGGAATATGCCAGGCTCAGTACCCACCGAAGGGTGTCCCACCGCCACTCTCGCCATTGCCCGCAGCACGCAGCTGCCCGGGCAGCGCCGGGCTGCTTGGCTGCTCCCGGCAGACATAGATGGTTAAACGAGGCCTAACTGACCTGCAATCAGAAGATGTCATTGATGAGCCTGGGAGAGAACGTGGCCTCAGCAAATTCACAACGAGAACTACAGGAATCTAAGCACTAGTTCCTTAGGAGAACTTTTTTTTTTTTTTAAACACAATGTTATTTCATTATACAAGAGAATTTACAAATAAAAATATAAAAACCACACACCTCACACCAACTATCACAGGTGCTCTAATAGGATGATCCAGACTTTAAACCATCGAGATGGTCTGTCACATGCTGGTGAATTTAAGTTTCAAGATAAAGTAAGCAATTTAAAATCAGTAGGATTCAATTTTAATGGAATTCTCACACAAGTCTAGAAACAGCAATGATATTAAAAGCCAGCACAGTTTACAGTTCTATCATTTAAATTCACAATTAGAAGTTTACATTTTAATAGCTGTTTATTAATAATAATGACCTTGAAAACCATAGATTCTGTATAGCTCACCTAAATTAGAAGTTTTGTTTTCTTGGCAACAAACCCAGTCGTCTTCAAGAAATCAGTACTGCCCATGTGCATTGCTACCAGTCTTAGTCTACCTCTGCCCTCATCAGTGCCTGCATCATATCTGGGCCTGCCCTGAAGGTGTACACAAAACAGTCTTCTCGTGAGCATGAGGCTGCCGATGCTTGACGGCGCACACAGGCACACGCCAACCTACTGTGGAAACACATTCTGCCCAAATCCCCCGTGCAAAGAAAGGCACGTTCTCATTTCACACAGAACAGTCCACAGTATTTTACCTTGACTTCAGTGAATTATAGAGCCGAATTCCATCGGCTGCACCACAAATTTGAACTAAATCCTCTTTTGACAGCTTTAATAAGTCGGCACCTGGAGAACAACAAAGAGACTAGTCACAAATGGCTAGAAAAAGAACAGACGTAGCTGGTGGCTGCACACACCTGTCTTCACATAGTTAAGTGTTCTACATGACACTGGGAGGTATTCCAAACACACACACACACACACACACCAAAAAAAAAAATGTCCTGTAGCACACACACACACACACACACCCAAAAAAAATGTTCTGTAGCACAGACACACACACACCCACACACACACCAAAAAAAAAAATGTCCTGTAGCAAAGACAGGAGAGAGAGACCAAAATAGGATACTTTTTTTTGTCAGTCACGGGGCTTGAACTCTGGGCCTGGGCACTATCCCTCAGCTCTTCAGCTCAAGGTGAGCACTCTACCACTTGAGCCACAGTGCTACTTCTGATTCTGATTTTCTGGTGGTTGATTGGAGATAAGAGTCTCATAGCTGGGTGCTGGTGGCTCACACCTGTAATCCTAGCTACTCAGGAGGCTGAGATCTGAGGGTCACAATTCAAAGCTAGCCCAGGCAGGAAAGTCCATGAGACTCTTATCTCCAATAAACCACTAGAAAACTGGAAGTGGTGCTGTGGCTCAAGCTGTAGAGTGCTCACCTTGAGCTGAAGAGCTGAGGGATAGCACCCAATCCCAGAGTTCAAGCCCCACAACCAACCAAAAAAAAAGTCTCATGGACTTTTCCTGCCCGGGGCTGGCTTTGAACCACAATCTCAGATATCAGCCTCCTACTGTAGCTAGGATTACAGATGTGAGCCACCCGTGCCCGGCTCCCAAGTAGCATACTCTTAGGAGAGGAACATCAAGGCATAATCCTCTGGAGCACATAAAATCATATTTATTAAAATGAACTCCAGAAAATGAAACCATACATTGTTTTCTTTGTTGCTGTTTTTGTTTTTTGTCTTGTTTATCTGTCTTTGGAGGATAAAGTGGAAAACGGCAATGGAAGGACAAGGGTGAACAAATGCAGCAGTGATATTTACTAGACATGATGTTGAAAATGAACTATACAACTTGGGGGGAGGGGACAGGAGGGAAAAACTGCGAGAGAGCAAGGGAAGGAATGACATTCTCCAAAAACAAATGTACTCTTTACCTGACTTATGTAACTGTGTGACTTATGTAACTGTGGCCCCACCCCTACATCCCTTTAAAATAGCACCAAAAGAAAGGGGGGAAAAAAAAAGCTAAATCCAGAAGCCCATCATCAATGAGCAAGAATTAGAGAGGTATTTCCAATGTAGGACTACTGCACGACTGCCCTGCCTCTCTGCTGGGCTGTGGTTGTGGCTACGTATCCTTAACCCCAGGCAGATAAATCTTCATGGCACCCTGACTTGACCCTTTATTTTACAAAGGAAGAAATGGAAGTCAATCATTTGGGTAACTTGCCCAAAGTTACTCTATGAGCTGGTAGCAGAGTAAGGCTATGTGGGTCCAGTCTTTTGTTTTTGCCTTTTTTTTGGTCTGTTGTGGGGCTTGAACTCTGGGCGTGGGCGCTGTCCCTCAGCTCTTCAGCTCAAGGCTAGCTAGCACTCTACCACTTGAGCCACAGAGCTACTTCAGCTTTTTCTGCTTATGTGGTGCAGAGGAATTGAAACCAGGGCTTCTTGCATACAAGGCAAGCACTCTGCCATTGACCACCTTCCCAGCCCTGTTTTTGCCCTCTTATCAGCCAAGGCACAGTTGTTAGAGACACTTAAAATCGTGAATGAAGGCATGATTTCCATATAGAAGATAACAGGGTTTAGTTTCAAAAGTTTCAGTGGGAATCTACTAAATAAAGATGAGAGAAGTGTTACTCATGATGTAAGCACTGGTGGAATTTTTTTTAATGGAGTCAGAGAAGCAGAGAAAGAGGGTCTTTCATTTCTACTGGGACGGGTGATGAAGGGCCCACAGCAGTGACAAGAGGAATGTGTGTATACACACTCACACACATCGGAACCATTACAGAGCACTAAAAACACCTGTAAACTGCAGCCCTTCCTGATACTTGACTTTTTTCCAAGCGGCCTCACTGCCCTACTGTGGACGCTACAGCTGAGAGAATGTACCAATGGGTACCATGGCTAGCTTCCCACTAGCCCTTCAGAACAAGTCCCCAAGTTACTGAAAAGGTAGGGGTGGGGGTGTTAAGCAGTGTGATTACTGTTCACAGTAACAAGAACTCAGAATTTCTAGACACAAACATGTATCTGCCTACCATCCCAGCGCTCACCAGGGGCCTCCCGACCCCTCCTGTCAGAGCTTTTTCTACTTCCTGCCCTGAGAGTTTAAGATGTCCCTCTTCCCCACTCTGAATTTTATAATTTCTAGTTTTTCACACATAAAAGGCTTCGCTTAATTATATCAAAATGTGGATCCTAGCTAGTAAATTATTTCCATCTGGCACTTTAAATTTTAAAGAGTCAAAGAGCTACATGAAAATGACTACTCACTGCACAAACAATATAATAAATGGCATAGCGGGAAACCATGATGTTTGTGAAATCAAGTGTTCCTTCAGGCTGGGTGTGTGAGCACACATGGTCTGTCCTCTTAAAGGGAAAACTCTTCCAGCAGTCTTATGAGCTCAAGGAAGACTTAACTGCCAATCTACTGTGTCCCAACCAATATTTCTCACGGGCAATACAGAAGCAGTACATGTTGGTGTGTTTTGTGAAAACACACCAACTGCTTCTGCAAACCTGGCACATCAACCTCTGTTCCCCGAACAGACTTCCCATCTCATCCGCTGGGCAGCACTCTCATCCCTGTTAACATCCTACCCAAGCATTCTCCAAGCTCCTGACGACAGTATATAAAATCTACACCATCAACTACTACTCTAAAAGGAAAAGGACCAAGCTACAGACACACACGGGAACTTGAGTAGATTTTAACATCTTTAAAAGCTAAGTAATAAAAGCCAGTGTCTAAAATTCATATTTTCAATGATTTCTGGTTTCATTTATATAATATTCATGAAACAGTAAAATCATGGACTGTGTTTAGTGGTATGGGAGGATGGGCATAAAGGGAGGGAGGACCTTGCAATGAAGCCCTACGTCTGTATCTTAACTGCAGTGATGATCATCTAGAACACGACAAAATTACAGTGCCAATGGTGACTTCTGGGATTTGAATTTGTAATACATTATTTAAGAAAACTGAAGGCATTCTGGACCATCTCCATACTATTTTTACAACTTACTGGGAAACAAAATGAAGTTGAAATGAAAAATTACTACATAGAACTAAATATACATACAAATGAGGAAAATACAAGAATGTCAATGGAACTGATGTTTCCAGAATTTGGTGAAATTTAAGTTACACAAGACGTCATACAAGTATACTGGAAGAAGGATGTAGTGTTTTGCTTCAGCTTCATATGTATACATGATATTTTAAGGTTAAGAAGTATAGATGAGAAGCCGGGTACAGGTGGTCCTGTAATCCTAGCTACTCAGGAGGCTGAGATCTGAAGATTGCGGTTCAAAGCCAGCCTGGGCAGGAAAGTCGGTGAGACTCTTATCTATAATTAACCACCAGAAAACCGGAAGTGGTGCTGTGGCTCAAGTGGTAGAGCGTTAGCCTTGAGCTGAAGAGCTCAGGGACAGCGCTCAGGCCCAGAGTTCAAGCCTCACAACCAACAACAACAACAAAAGAAGTATACATGTGAAACACTCTGTGTGGGCATACACATGGGCATTACCTGAAAAATTAGAAAACAGTCTTGTGTAGGAAGAGAATCTATTTTTCACTAGCCATTGCTGTGCTTCCTGGGTTGTAGCTGAAGGCTGAATTTGCTATTAAAAAGAAATGAACATAGATAAAAGGTTTCAAATGTAAAAGAATAACCCAAATGAAGTAAAATACCCAAGAGTCAGATGCTGGTGGCTCATGCCTGTAATTCTAGCTACTTAGAAGGCTGAGATCTGAGCATCACTGTTCAAAGCCCAACTAGGCAGACAAATTAGAGAGACTCATATGTCTAGCCAGAAATGAAGGTATGGCTCAAGTGGTAGAGCACTAACCAGCTTTGAATGAAAAACCTAAGAGAAGAAAGTGAGGCCCTGAATTCAAGCCCGAGTACTCACATACACACCCTTTCCCCGACCCAAGAAGAATATGAATCTACTTACTCAGTGACCCATATACTTAACGATTCAAGCCCTGGCCAGAAACGTTAAAGCACAGGCCCCTGAAAGCATCTGATGGTTTTAGGGAAAAGACACTTACTTCACTAGATGCCTGTGAAGCTCCATCTCCCTGGTGATTTGGGGAAGAAGAATTGCTGCAAAAAAAAAAGAAAGGATTTTTATAATTAAAAAAAAATCAAAACACTAAAGGGTAGTAATCTAGATGGCTTCAAAATAAGGCAAACAGCTACATAAGCTTGCAACAAAAATGTAACACACAGATTAAAAGTCAATGTAATGATGATAATGGTAAGGTAAGGATACATGGAAGATCAAATCTGCCTTTATCTGTTCTAGTGAAGAAAAAAAAAAAGGCTCCCTAAATTCTTCACTAGGGTGCCAGGTAGGGTGCTTTGTTAGGAAAAAAACCCACAAGAAATTAAGTAAAATAGATAGCTAAAAATAACTGAACAATCTGAAGAAAATGAGCTACACAAGTATCATCATTATAATAAAAATATAAAACAGTATTTCCTTTAAATTAATACATCTATCCATGAACAAGTTGAACAGGCTCTCACCTATTCTCACTAGCTACTTGGGAGGCTAAGAACAGGAGGATATTGTTCAGTTTCATCTGGACAGAAAAGTTAATGAGACTCTTTTTCAACTCATAGCTGGGTACAATAATGTATCCTTGTCATCCTAAATTAAATGAGAGGCTAAGCTTGAAGGTTCCAGGCAGCCTGGGCAGAAAAGTCTGTGATACTCCATCTCAGTGGAAGAAGTTGAGTATGATGGCATGTATCTCTCGTGCCAGCTACCAAATGGGAAGCCTAAAATAGGAGGATTAAAACTGAGGCCCTGGGTTCAACTCCTCAGCACCACATAAGCAGAAAAGGCCAGAAGTGGTGCTGTGGCTCAAGTGGTAGAGCTCTAGCCTTGAGCTGAAGAGCTGAGGACAGTACCCAAGCCCAGAATTCAGGCCCCACCACCGACAAAAAACCAAAACAAACAAAAAAACCAGTTTGATATGACAAAAGACCAACGTTCTTTGAAATAAAATATGTAAACATATTCAAGTCACAGATACTGTTCTTTGTGAAGCCCACGAATACTCTCTTTAATCTTCTGAAGACTAAAATTGGGAGTTAGGGAAGGGGTGACATTGTCCAAAAAGAAATATACTCTACCTTACTTAACTGTAACTGTAACCCCTCTGTACATCACCTTTAGGACAACAATTTTAAAAAAAACTTTTAAAACATCTTTCAGAGACTGAATCCTCTTAAAGACTGAATCACCTTAAAATGCCCTTCCTGAAATTAGCACAGCTGTGGAAGTATGAAGCACAAGGGTGAGGTGCAAAAGGAGAAGCATTAGGTGAAAAAAGACAGTGATTGCTCTGTGCTGCCAAAGGGCAGTGTATTTCCCACCACTCTACTTCAGACACACAAAAAAGGCTAATCTGGGCGCTGGTGGCTCATGGCTATAATCCTAACTACTCAGGAGGCTGAGATCTAAAGATCCTTGTTGGAAGCCAGCTGGGAGAAAGTCCAAGAGACACTTTTTTTTGGTCAATTGTGGAGCTTGAACTCAGGGCCTGGGTGCCATCACCAAGCAATTTTTGCTCAAAGTTAGCACTCTCCCACTTTGAGCTATAGCAACATTTCTACATTTCTGGTGGTTAATTGGAAATAAGTCTCATGGTCTTTGCTGCCAGGGCTGGCTTTGAACCGTGATTCTCAGATCTCAGCCTCTTGAGTAGCTAGGATTATAGGTGTGAGCCACCAGTGCTCAGCTCCAAAAGACTCTTATCTCCAATTAACTGGCAAAAATTTTGCCAGAATTGGAGGTGTGGCTCAAGTGGTAGAATGCCAGCCTTAAGTAAAAAGGCTAAGCAAGAGCATGAATCCATCCCTGAGTCCTAAGTTCAAGCCCCAGAACCAGTAAACAAACATTAAAAAAAAAAAGACAGTAAAACTCGGGGTATGACACAAGTAGCAGAATGCTTGCTAAAGCAGCAGGGAGGTCCTGAGTTCAATCCCCAGTACCACAAGGACAAAAAGAAAAGAAAGGAGAGCCTGCTAACAAGAGGGAAGAGACCTGAAGGACCCCGTGCAATGGTGAGGCAAGGTATGCGCACACACACAGGTACCTGTCTGGGATGCTGCACGCGCTCTGCTGTGAGGAGGTGAAGGTGGGCGCTGGGGAAGGGCTGTTACTCACGAAGGCTGTGGGGGTATCGGGCCACGGAGAACACTAAGGACAGAAACAGAAAGACATCAATGATACGCTTTTAAATCTGTGAGACAGATCCTCTTGTAATTCACTCTCTAATCTGACCAAATACAAGCTTACAAAATACAAGACACCTGATGTTTAGCAGTCAAGCAAGAGATAAGTCAAATTTACCCTGCTATGTTGTGTCTAGACATTAATGTTAGAGAAGACCTGAGCTGCTAACTTTCTAAAGCCATTTTAAATATAGACCTCCTCCTTAACCTGTATCCTGTCAGCTCCCCCAACAGGCATTCTGCTATTCTCTGAAGGCTTAGGAACAGCAGAGACAAGAAAGTCTCACAAGCAACATGCAACAGTAGTACATGGTGACCTGGACAGTGGCCGAGTCCTTCTTCCTGCTTCTTGTCCCCTCTTCTCCGAGAAGCAACCTCAACAGTACCCATGTGTTTCCTTGATAATTCTTAACATAAATAATGATCCCCAAGGAAAAATGGGCTGGTCCAATATCAAAATACAACACCATGCCAGTGCTGCTCCACCATGCGTCCATCCATGTGGGTGTTCATGTTTTCTCAGAGGGATAGAGTAAACTTAAGTAGTTTTCAGACTTTGACAAAACTGTTACCATAGCTAGAGCAAAGATACAAAGTCACACTGAACAGGACCATTAGGAGAGAAAGCCAATGGTGAGAGTGTGCTGGGCAGTACGAGAGTCACATTTCTCCTGGATAGGGCCACATCAGGACTACTAGTATGAAGAAGCGAAGAAACGGTGGCATTCTGACAGTAGAAACCAAGTCTCACCAACATGGCTTACAATAAATACCTTACACCCATCAAAAGCATGGATATGGGAAAGAAAATAGAAAACACAACAAACATTCTTTACAATAGTCTATTTATCTGCTCTAAAATAGGACAGATAATTGCAGACATTTTCTACTATTATCACCTTGCAAAACAGAACTCTAATGTGGCTGGTCAGCTCATTGCATTGGCATATACCAATTTCAATATAAATAGTATCTTTGACAATAATGCCCATTCTTTTAAAACTACAGCCTTGAGACAGGTAGGGCACACACCTACAAACCAGCACTTGAGGGGCTAAGGTTAAAAGATCCAAGTTCAAAGCCAGCCTAGATTATACAGAAAATTCCAGACAGTCCTAAGGCCACAGAGTAAGACACTGTCTCAAAAAACTGAAACTAGCTAGGCACTGCTGGCTGGTGCTTGTAATCCTAGCTACTCAGGAGGCTGGGATCTGAGGATCACAGTTCAAAGCCAGCCAGGGATGGAAAAGTCTGTGAGACTCTATCTCCAATAAACTACTTATAAAAGGCCAGAAATGGCGCTGTGGCTCAAGTGGTAGACTACTAGCCTTGAGCAAAAGAAGCTCAGTGCCTAGGTACCACCCCTAAAATTAAACAAACAAAACAGGACTTTTTCTTTTCATCTGTCAAAGAAACCTCTACAGTTTATAGTTTGAAGAATCCAAGATTCTGTGAGCTAATGTGTATCTAATAACTCGTAGATGTCATACACTTACTGTCACTCCTACTATTCCTCCTAGAACTCTTCCTTGCCCAATACAAATGATCAAATCACAGAATAAAATGTATATCTAAAGTAAAGTAAATCTTTTTTTTTTTTTTTTTTTGCGGTTGTGGGGCTTAAACTCTGGGCTTGGGCGCTATCCCTGCACTCTTCAGCTCAAGGTGAGCGCTCTACTGCTTG